TAGATAGATAGATAGATAGATAGATAGATAGATAGATAGATAGATAGCTCTGCTGACATATCAGTAATTGATGGTTCCCACGAGGCCCGTGTGTGAAATCATTGAGTGTTGACCTGACGGTCCACTCCTGTCATGTAATTATTACAGGAAAAGTACACTCAAACTGAAATCATATCTCTGGGTTATAATAGAGTCAGAATCCCATTATCCTTTCACCGCCATCCTCTCCTCTTCCTCCTCATCCTTCTTCACTGCACTTGACATGCAGATCGGGTGCAGTGGTGTAATGTGATCACCATATGGTGCAACTGTTAGACATGCTCATGATTCAAGAGGCTACAGAGGTGGAGTGTGATTGTGGCTAAATTGTTTTTGCATAAGATTTATTTAACTTTTTTTTTTAAGATAGTGCATAATGCAATGTTACTTATCAGAAAAAAAGAGGACAACGTTTTTTGTGAAGGTGTCAGAAAGCAGCTAGACTCAGAAAGAAACCTGAGTTCAGTCAGTCTCAAACGAATCCTCATGTATTACATAACCTGGAATCCCATTCATGAAGGACATTTAATGTGCAGTGGTGGTCTGTATCAATTTCTGAATCATGTAAATACACATTTGCTTCACATACGTGTGCTTTACTTATAAATCAAGGTATAAAAGTAAACCCGAACTGATGCAAAACGCATCTTTTCTTTGCATTTCAATGTCTCAGATGAGACATGTTACCTCAACAAAGTGTATTTACTGGTTTGTACCTAACCTTCTTTGTTACTTGACCTGTGTATTATTCTTACCTCCATCTCCATCTTCTACCACAGTATCTGAAGTTGGTCAGAGGCAACATGTCCAGGAAAGAACCCCATGCATCCCTCTCCCCAGAGACACTTTCTAGCTTGTTCTGGGAGACCCTGACATGTTCCCAGGCCAGAGGACATACGTAAAACCTCTTCCTACCAGTGACATGCCCAGAAAATCTCTGAAGGGAGGTATCCAGGAGACATCCTAATCAGATGCCCGACCACCTCAACTGACTCCATCGATGCAGAGGAGCATCGGCTCTGCTCTGAGCTCCCTCCGGATGATGGAGCTCCTCACCCTTTAAGGCTGAGCCTGGCCACCCTGCCATAAAAAGGCCATTTTGGAGCTTGTGTCCAAGATCTAGTTTGTTGGTCATGCCCTAAACCTCATGACCTGAGGTGAATGTTGGAACGTACCAGTAAATCGAGAGCTTTGACTTTTGAATGAGGCAACCCTCTCCCCTAAGCCAGAGGGTGCATTCATTTCTAGTGAAGAACCATGATCAGACTTTGAGGAGCTGACTCTTGACTCTTACTCTACTTGTGATTACAAACAATTTCTCTTTTTTTCCTGAGCAGACCTAAATACAAATATGTCATAAAAAGTTTTGCTTGTTTGGTATTGACACAAACTCTTTCACTTGAGACATGTTTAACTAGTCTACAATATATTATAAACATTGAAGTTTTTGTCTTGCTGCAATTTAACTTTTACTGTATAACTAATATTTTTATGGTTTCGGTGTTCAGATTACAAGCGTGAATTTATAAGGTCTAATTTTTATGATTGTACAATTGTTATATTCATGATCATCGGATATTTTGGTTTAGTTGTAAAAATCTGGAATAAAACTGGAACCACTTATCACTTTTAAAGAACATGTATGGATTTTAAACATAAAATTAGTGCCAATTTTTATTCCTTTACAGAGTTTTGTTTTTTTTAAATTCTTCTATTTTTCTTGGCGTTTATTAATTTGTGAAACGAGAATAAAAATCAATTAAATATTCCCAGTAATGTGAATGCAACACCACGCGTGCGCAGTACTTTTATCATTTTGAAGGTTCAAAAGAATCAACTGTTTACATTGAAAACGACGGGGATTATTGGATTATTGTTGTTGGAGCAAAGTTTTTTATATATAATTGTTCAAATGGTATTGGCATTACAGAATAAAGTAGCCAAATGGCTAAAACATGATAAAGGTTACAGCTAAATTCGGATAAAATGTATTTAGAAGTAACTAGTTGTTTCTGATTTTTTTCCACTAGAGGGAAGTATTGCGTTTTGATTTGAAACAACACTTGGGCTTACATTGAAACTAGGCAACATAAGATTATTTAAATTTGAAGAAAAAAAAAAGCTGCACTAAGGCTGATAAGTAGGCGCCAAAGTAGTACTATCTTAATTTAAATGATTTTCCAGAAACATAATCTTATCATCTACCCTTTTTCTTTTAAGTTCTTACCTCCCTGAGGCACACCAGACAGCTTTAGAACCCGAGCTGTGGTGCAAAACTGAGCTTTGCATCTAAAATAATTACAACTGATGACGACTGAATGCAGCAGTATAATTTGTTGTGCGCTGACAACGGTGAAAAGTCACTGCCAAAACAAAGACAATGCTAAGCTATGATACAATCACCAAGTTAGTCTCTGGCAGTTTTCATTTCCAAATGTTTGTGTTTAACCAGTTGTTTCATATTCACTGCAGAACGAGGACCAGTAGAACAAACACAAAGAGAAGCCAAAGCAATAAATTAAATTATTGGCAGCAAAAAGAAGTCACATGCAGTTTTGTCTGCATTTTTCCACACGAGCTGATCATTTGTCTTTGTTGTTGTTGAGATGCAGAAACAATGTCATAAAACACACAACACAAGTTTGTATACGTTTAATAAATAACAACATAAGCATAATTTATAACAAAAGAACCTTTTAATTAACAGGCCTGGGTCAAATTGTATTTGCAGCTTCAGTCTTTCTCATGCTTTCTGTAAGTTTCTGAGGCAGATAAACTCCAACAAGTAGCCTGACTGTGTTCTTATGCCAAAAACTTTGCTCTGTTGCCGGCTTGGCTGCTATTTATTGGTACCAGCGCAGGTTTTAGCCCGCGCTTTCTGGAAACAAGTCACATTTTCTCGTAAACTGAGTTGCTAAGTCTTTGGAAGTTGCACAGCAGTACAGCATTAGTTTTGGATTCAAAAGCCAGTTTTTGCTTTCAGATCAGCACAGACTAGTTCAAATGGGGAAATGTGTACATTCTAGTATTTAAAGGCGTCAAAGGATAGTATAACTTGTAATATTTAAAAAGAGCCATGCACATTTACAAATTACTTCAGCAGCACAAGTGAGTCAGCATGACATGGAGGCATTTTATGGTTGTTTTGTGGGTTTTTTGTACCAAAGAATGAGATCTTTAACAAGCTTTTAAAAATGATGTTACAATAAAAATCACACATGTAGCTGGAATAGGTTAAGTGTATGATAGCTTATATTCATTTTTGTTTACTTGCTTTGTTTTTTGAGCAGCCTGTAATCAAGAGAAAAAGAAAGAGTTACTCTTAGATGTCCAATTTACACTTTTTGCGTATCACTTGCCTGGTGCGCATTACTTTATGTCTTATTAAGCTGTTGCTTGAAAACAATGCATCTGATCTGAACTGTTTCTGTGATGTTGTAAAACATTTCTGAACATTTTCAAAGTAAAGATACTCATTGCAAATATCCAAGATAAAAATCAGTAACCTGAATTAAATCAAATGCTGCAGTTTGAATAAAAAAAAAAAAAAAAACTTCAGTAGTTTTACAAACATATTACACCATATTATACTGTATGCAATACTGAAGTGTGCACACTCAATGTAAACAAAGCATTTTTATCTGTATATTTTATTAAACAAATCTGAGTGTAAAATGGAGCCTAAACATCAAGATTGTCTGATTATTTTAAATCACAAATGGATCCTCTGTGGATGTTGCTACAGCTGAGTCATTTTCAGTCATTTTGGATGTTTTGTAGGTAAACATTTGTTTATGATTGTTGGCAGGCATTCACAAAATCTGCCTCTAAATTCCTAATTTAGAAACACATCAATATGAAAACAGTGCAAATTTATTTATTTTTACTTTATACCTTTTTTGACTGATCTTTATAATATTGCAATGAGTACCTTTTAAATAATTTTTAAAAAATCCTTTAATTTTAAATAAACTATAGAAAACAAGAAAATAAAAATTTAGATCCACCAAGTGTGATTTTGTGACATCTAGTGGCAAAGCTGCAGAATGCACCCAATTGTGCCTCACTTTGTATGCATGTAGGAAAAACAACTGTTACTTGAACGCATCACTGACATACAGGAAGAGAACTTCTGCTCTCTGTATATATTAATAATAAGTTTTACTAAATAACAACAATAATTTCTATTTTTAAGAGACTATATACATAAAAAACAACATTTGTGACAGTATAATCAATGGATTCTGCAAAGTAACACACTTCACTGTAGGTTATAAAAATCCTATTAAAAATGAAACAGCTGGAATACTTTTATAAATATCTAGTTGTTCACGCAAAGACATTTTCCCTCCCAAATACTTTTTTCAGTGTAATGTTTTTAAATTGTGATAAATGTGCAATAGCGAGTTTAAACCTCTTCAAGGTCAGACTTGTAAACCACAACAAAATAAACAATTTTACAGCAACAACCTTTAAATACTGAAGAAATATTAAGAAAAAAATTAACCACAAACCATATGCAGATACTCTTTGACCCAGGTCTGGCTGTGTTTACATGCAGTCCAGATACTTTTACATATACCAATAATTTACTTTGTGCAGACGGTGAGAAATCTTTGGTGATAATTTATGTGCAGAAAGACGCAACTGTCCTGGATGGCAACGTGGTCTTTGTGTTTATGGTATACTGTGTGTGAGAGAGTCCGTTTTCATTGCCACGATTTGCGGCTGAGCACACACACGCACGCCACGTTGATGCGTATGAGCCTCCATGCCACCAGGTTCTTAAACGAAGTCAGCGCTCGTACAAAAGTGTGTGTGTTGGTGCAATAGGAGTTCCAGTGTCTCGCATCGATTCCTAAACAGCCCGAGTTTCCAGATCGAGAACTGTGACACGTCGTCTCGAAGAAATACTGCTTCTTTTTGACGTTGTTGATGTTCACATCTGGCAGCACCGTCACCTCATTGCCTGAGATGTCTGTGGCTTTGGTCTTGTTTCCCACCCACACACTAATACTTTCACACACAGAGTACACCCCACGATGCTGAGAGTGCCCTGCTCTCCTACGGGTCCTTCTGCTGCCACCCTGAGCCCCCGATGGCTCGGCATCTGGGGGCTGGGAGCTGAAAAGCACCCTGGGTGAGAGGTAGTGGCGTTTGTTGAAAAGTTTGGGGTCCACAGTGGGGATGGCGTTGCTCTGCTGTGGTGTTGCGGTGCTGTTCGAGTCCCCTCTTGTGGTGGCCACAGCCTGGGCACTGAAGAAGAGGAACAGGACCAGCATGGATGACCTCATGGGCTCACAATCTGAGATTAGCAACGAGAAAAGAGGAAACTTCTGTTACAGCAGGTATCCACCACATCTAGTTAGCATCACCAGCTGCACCAATACATGTCTGTATGTGTGTATGTGTCTGTTAGCCAAATATCCAATGCACCAGTGAACAAAATTTAATGAAACTTGCAGAAACACATCAACAATTGATTTATTTATGGAATCAAACTGATTTAAGATGGCTGCCATCAGTGGTGGACAAACTGATTTAAGATGGCTGCCATCAGTGGTGGACAAAGTACTCAATTCTAGTACTTAATAGTATTTATACTCAAGGTCAAATTTTACTCAACTACAAGTAAAAGTTGCTCAGTCAAAAGTTTGCGTAAGTTAAAGTACTGAACCAAAATAGTCCATGCTCAATAATCCATGTATACAATCCAACAATTTTCAGTCAGGTCATTTGGACAGTTTTTTTTTTTTTTTGCTGAAACACACAACACAAAACTGATTCTTCCCCCAAACAGCTTACTCCAAAGTGGAACAAACCAGTTTTGTTGGTGCTAAGATGGTGTCTTTGGCACGCCCCCTCCTGTGGTGCCGGCCCTCTTCCTCGTCGACAGTCATGTCATACTGGCTCAAAACCAAAAAAGTACTGAAGTACTTTTGAAAATACTTAAGTATTCAAAAGTACATGCATTTAAAAATACTCAAGTATTTGTTAGACTGTTAGACTCTACAACCATCACTGCTCCCAACAGACTCAATAAGGATTAAATACATGCTGACCTCTGCTACTCTGCCTATGATACTGTATTGTAAATAGTCTGTCCTTATCAATTTTCCAATACAAATTGAACATTATTATTGATATTGTTTATCTTATTTATTTTTATATTGTATTGTTTATTAACATTTAGGAACTTTTGTGTGAAATCTTTTTATCTGTTGCTGCTGTTACACTTGAATTCCCCATTGTCCGTGGGACAATAAAGGCTGTTTCTATTCTATTCTATTCTATTCTATTCTATTCTATTCTATTCTATTCTATTCTATTCTATTCTATTCTATTCTATTCTATTCTATTCTATTCTATTTAAAATTATATTTTCTAATATCAGTACATTGCTGTATTGTTTTGAGTGATTTTACAGAACCTTGTAACTCTGAAACCACCTGGTGATGTACTGACATGTAGAACCACTCTAACACCACATCCCTTAATAAAAACCTGCAAACTACAAATAATATCTTCACTGCATTTTACATGTTTGTGGAAAGTCATGTAAATCCTAACAGATGGTGCACATTTAGTCTTTTCCCCAGCTTCAGTATTCATACACCACACTGTTTGTGTGTAAAAGTGCATATATTGACAGCAACAATTTAACACAGGAGAGGAAACATTAACACTGATAAGTGAAAGTTCTGCCATACTTAACACAGAAGCTTACAAAACAATAAATGTTCTGCACAGATGAATCTAGTATAATACCTGAATCAACAACTGACCAATTGCATTTAAGGAAAGAAAAACAGCAACAGCAGATTATAAAGATGAGCCAAAAAGAACAAGTAACAAGAAGCTTCCTAGAAATGTAGTGGAGTCAAGTTCCCAAAAACACAAATACTCAAGTAAAGTAAACATACTCAGAAAATGTACTTAAATACAATACTCAAGTAAATCTACTTCATTACTGTCCACCACTGGCTGCCACAGCAAGCTGATAATAAAACTAAAAAACGACTATAATTCAGTCAGTTTTACAGATAATAATCTCAATTTCAGTGTGCTCCTAGCTGAGATTAACCCTTCCCATATTTTGAGCGCTAACAGAATGAATGAGAGTTGTTTTTTTAAATTGGGCATTACTTGTTGTTTTAGAGTTAAGTCTGTTTGCAAAATCAACCCCAGGATGTTTATGAATTAAACTTTTAGGAAATATTCATAGTATTTGTCTTTTGAGCCAACGCAATTCAAGACGGCCAGCCTAATCAACTGACTTAGATAAAACAAAATGGCTACAATTCAGGCAATTTTACAAACATTGTGCTAAAATGTGGTGTGATTATGGCTGGGAGTCATTTTCTACACATCCTTTGTGCGTGACTTTTGTTTCATGAGGCTGTGCAAAGTTATTTTCAAGGTTTGACTCATTTCTGAACACAAGACAATCTTGGTTTAAAGCTCAGGCGTGACGAGCAGTGGGTGAAATAAATTCTTTCAAGGAGTGCTAGGCTTTTATTTTGGCATTGTTTGGGCATTTAGAAACTTTAAAGGGAAATATATTTTATCAGCTATATATACCTGTGTTTACCAGCTTATGTTTAGTTAAAAAAAAAAAGTATATTCCTCCTATTTTTCTTCCAAATTATTCTTAATTCTGCAGCTTGCTGATTCCAGAGAAGAACTCCTTACTGATCCAGAACAAAGAACTGACAGTTAACGTGTAAACCAGAAGCACCTTCATGTTTAAAAACTAAAGCTCTTGTAACATAATTTCATGGAACAAGAGTTCGCTAAAAGTCTAAAGTCTCAAATTATTATAAAAATTGACTCTACAAGTCCCAATTAAACAGGAAGAATGCTGAAATAACACGATGCTTCAGGAGCCCAGAGGGCAGCCACGTCCCTGAACGGATTTACACACGAAAACAGGACAAAGTATGTTTGATGTCCAATTTCATAATAACAGGGATTTTGTTATAATTACATATTAAGAGAGGACTAAAAAAATGTCATTTATCATTGCTACACAAAAAAAGTAAAATAAATAAAGAACCACCTCTTGTGTTTTGGTGCCAGCTTCCACATCAGATGACCAAAGGTGAAGAGAAGTTCACGACTGTTTGGTTGACTAAAACAGGTAATAGTAAAATTATAGGTGCTCTGTGTTCTTTGTGTCAAACCATGAAGCCCTCCAGGACTCAAGTCATTTTAGAAATTTCCTCTTTAATCTTTTAAATCAGCTTATTCTATGGGCAGCGCTGTAGAGCAGTAGTTAGCATTATTCCCCCACAGAAAGAAGGTTGCAGTTTCGCCTATTCCAGTTTCCCCCCGACAAACCACAAGCGTACATGTTAAATTAACTGGTAACTTTGAATGGTTCCTTGGTGTGAGTGAGAGTGTAAATGGTTGTCTGTCTCATTTGTCTCTCATGACCCATGGACGTGCAACCGCTCCAGGGTGTCCCCAGTCCACCTGAGTCAATCTCATTCAAGACAGCTGACACTACTTATAGACCTAAGTGAACAGAACTGTCTTTCATTCAGTCAGTTTGACATTTATTGAGCTAATATTTGGTGTAATAATAGCTGACAATCACAACATGCACTCTATAGTACCAACAGCTGTTTTAAAACTTTGCCATTCATTCATTGGTACTAAATCTGCCTGTTAGCAAAATATATCATGAAGTTCAGGAAGACTTTTTATAAAACTCTCAGAAAGTAATTAACGGTTGGTTGTCTACAGTTAATTAACATTTAGAATCAACCCATTTCAAGATGGTCATCGCAGCTTTAGATAATTCAGTCTGCTTTACGGCCTCCTGCTTGCTCTCAATGAAGGTGGATACTTTCCCCTCCCGGTCCTCCATCCGTCCATCCATTTTCTTTACCCGCTTATTCCATTTTGGGTCACGGGGGTCGCCGGTGCCCATGTCCAGCCATCACTGTGCGAGGGGCGGGGTACACCCTGGACGGGTCGCAAGTCCATCACAGGGCCCCCTCCCGGTCCTGCTTCCCTTAATTTAATGAAAAAGGCAGCGCCTCCCACGAGGCCGCAGCCTCAGACATCTCCGTCTTTCTGTTTGTTTGTGTTTTCTTTGGATGGGCTGGGCTGAAATGTATTTTTGTTGCGCTTTGGTGCAATAACATTATTCAGATTTTGATTTTGCTACATTTGGTGTAGAAGCAAGTGAGGGTTATTGTCACGATCCTCAGTGTTGGAACCCAATTGCAGAGAGGCGAGCGAGGCAGGAGTTCAAAAACAAAAACAATTTATTTTTAATAACAAAACAAAAGGCTGTCGGTGCAGCAAAACTTACTTGGGCAGACAGGATCAGAAACAAGGCAGAGCAGATCATCAGGGGGGACAAAAAACAGACAAGATAGAAGAGGACTGAGATGTCTGTGAACACAGAACAATCACCGGACAAGGAGTGAAGGAGAGAAAGGCTTTTTATATAACAGAGGGAGAGTGAGTAATGAAAGCACCTGGGCAGGTGGCTGATGAGGAACAGGTGTGAATGATAAAGACTGAGTGGAGAGGCAGACTGAGGAGTGAGTGGAAAATAACAGAATCAGATAAACAGAAAATCACACACAGAGCAGAACAACAAAAACATAAAGAGCAGACAGAGACAGAACCTGTCAAACAGAACTCAGAATGTAATTAAAGTGACACATTTACAAAGCACCTTGAAAAGGAAGGAAATGATTTAGTTTGTGGGATAACAGGACCAGATACACAAAAACAGAAAACACACAAGGAGCAGAGGCTTAGGCAGATGGGGGGGCAGCGGGGGCCGCTGACCGTGACAGGTTATTTTAATTTGTAAAAAAAAAAAAAAAAAAATCTGTACGCCTCTTTTATGATTGTCTATTGTTGTCGTTGTTGTCCAACTGTTGTCATCACTCTTTGTTAAAATCAGGTCTCTCTTGTAAATGAGTCCCGGAGGCTCAATGGGATTAACCTGTCTAAATAAAGGTTGAATGAAAAAGAAAAAAACACTCTGAGCACTAACACAACACCAAGCGCTCACAAGATCTCACAGTGCTTTATTAGATCCTGCAAAACAGTGTTTTTCTCAATATAAAATGATTTTTGGTTAAATCTCTGGCACGGTTTAACCCAGAGGTGTCAAACTAATTTCCACCGAGGGCCACATCAGCATAATGGTTGCCCTCAAAGGGCCAGATGCAACTGTAAGACAGTATAAATGTAGCTAAAATTAACTAAACGTAATGTAAAATATATGCAATGACTCAATGAGATTACCTGGGTAAATAAATCAATA